TATTTGCAGAGAATTTTGTGTTTCATTTGGTTACACTAAGTCAATATAATTATGTAAAGGCAAAATGAAATAAAGATTAAATTACAATGTACGGAGTAAAATGTGCTTGGATAAAATAGATTTCTATACAAATATGAATTTTACAAAACGTTATAACCAATCTGATAGTGTATAATAGAGTCATGACCTCAAGATACCATACGTCTCGTATATCTTATTTGTAATAGTATCTGGTCAAAATGAATTTCCTTCTCCTGTATTGATAAACAAACATTTATTTGCATACATGTGTTTATCATGAAAATCGTTATCAATCACAGATGGATTAATGGAAAGAATAATTTCAAAACACAGGGCTTGAACCATGGAAGTTAAAGGACTATATAGGAAAATGTCTGTATTTTTTTTCTAAGGGCATAAAGACAAACATGTTGAGCATCAAGACATTTGTCTTTGTGAAGTGATTATATTTCAATAATGTAATTTTGATTGACTGAATTTAAGAAAATTAGAAAATTAAAATTTACACTGTTTTAAAATCATTTTGGGGCAGGAAGGATTATTGAGGGAATTGAACTTCACAACATTGAAGTAATTATGCTAAATAAAGTTCATTCAAGTAATGGCAACAGGAAACAATTCTCCAGAAATAATACTTAAAATATTGCATGGATTAATCTCTATAAATCCTTGAAGTCTTCCTGCATGAAAGCATTTAACAGTCTCAAAAATCAGAACACCCACTTCTCAATGAAAGCAAGAGTTGTCTCAGGTAGTACACTAAGTCAATACACTTAAGTAAACAAAGCATAAATTCGAGATGGTTAAAAAAAAAAAAAGAGTTTGGTGTCAAAGGTCAATAGTTGTCCTACCTTGTTTGCTACGAGCAGACAGGGCACAAGTTGGCCATCTGGAAGACTGACTTTTGTATCCAGATCTTTCTTCCATTTGAGAATATTTTGAAATGTTTTCTTGGCGGTGATGTCAAACATTATTACACATGCTGAGGCATCTTTGTAATAGACTCTGGTCATCGAGGAAAAACGTTCTTGCCCTGTGAATTACCAAGGTTCACAAAGCAGATTATTCCGTTGGTCACACAAAGGGAGAGAGAAATAGGTCATATGTAGGGGCACAGAATTAGCCTGTAACCTATTTTCAAATGTCACGCACATTGTATTATAATTATTGGTAGCCACGAAAGGTGAAAACCAGACATGATATAATGAATTTTGCTCTGTCACATTTCTGCCACATGTAGTAACATGAAAAGCTTCAACTCAACACAAGTATCACATGCAGTTGGTACTGTACACAGTGTGTGGCATGTTTGGGTTGGCTAATTAAATACAGTGCAGTAATTAACTATATCAATTTAAAACTCCAAATTGTGAAACTTAAGATTAATAAATTTCAAAATGATTTGAAACTGACAAAAGTATCTGAAGACAATTATAGTGAACTGAAAAGTGAAAATTTTTCGCAAAGAAACAAATTCTCACACTGAATTTTGAGATCACACATTTGGACATATGTACATGTATGTTCAATTAATAAAACGTGTTATATGTATATGTACCGGTACATGTAGTGGAAGAATTTACTGTAAATCACTTTAGTTGCATGAGAAATAATTTTCGTGAGTTAGGACAAGCATGGAACTATAAACCCTTCCATGGGACAAGTCTGTAAGTCTATTATGACTGTGTAAATAGCACAAAAACAATCCTCTTAACATTTAATTTTCCCAACAAATAATTAATGGTTTAGGTTTTATCAAAGA